CGCAAGATTCAACTGTTTCCACAATCAACGACCGCCCGACAAACAACAACAACAAACACCAAGAACAGTTACCATACCGTCGTCGTGGAGTAACCCCAGGGCGGCTATCAAGCGTGTACGGTCTCGTCTCGAGGTTGTCGTTTTGAGGAAATGCGTCGAATATGAATGCCATTGTCGACTTTGGTTATGTTTTAATGTCGCGCGTGCATAATGAACAAAACACACGCGCCTAAAGGTGACAAAGAATACACGCGCAGATTCTATTTGTGTGTTTGTGAATTAAACGTCCACTTCCTTTATCTGCTTAATGTGCGACCAAGTCAAACGTTTGAGGACTCTCAAAGTCATCTCGCAAGTTGTTAATATTTTCCGCGCATCTTCCACAAAATAACAAACCGGGGTGAAAATCAGTTTTTAATAAACAACAGTTATATTTATTTTCCAGCGTTGTGCTTCATTAAATTCTAAATAAATAAATATTTTCATGCCGCAAACACTAACCCGGAATAAAACCAATAAATGTTGAATGTGATCTGCCGCAGCTAGTTTTTTTGTAAACTTTGTGCAACATTTGCTAAATTATTCAAATACCATATACACATGTTAAATATTTACAGCCATATACGTAAATAAAACCAATATTTTAATGGAGGTATAAAGTTTCACTTTAAATATCAAATTTAATGCTTGATAAAAATACAGTCACGTTGTGAGTGTAGATGGAGAGCGAAATGTGATTACGATTTAAATTCGACGCTTTAACGGCGCATTCTTGACGGATAATCGCATTAATGCTTATCTAAAGATGTCAAAACCAATGACTGAAGTTAAAGTGAGTTGAGACGCAAGGCGTAACAAGTTGATGTGCAATTAAAATGGTCTTTTGTTCGTACAGGCGTTCAAAATAAAATGAAAAAAGAAAACACTTAATTCTGAACTTGTCAATGCCATATTTGCACTTTATCTGAAATATTTCTTGAAGAAAAATATTATTTCTACTTTCACTTTTAAATCGCAACAGTTTTTCGGCGGTTTTAAGAGATACGTACTTTAGTCACGGGTTTTAGTCACGGGGTGGAGCTTCCGTCGGTACAGTAGCCCACAGTGCTGCAAAAACCATATGAAATTAATGAAATTATTATTGGTTTTCAACCAAATGAATCAAAACCACAAATTTTAATGATAAAATTACATAGAAAGCCAAATAATCCCTCAGCTATTTTTCTCTATTTGGCTAATAGAATTTAAAATGAGTTATGATGAATTGTGCAAAGATTAAAGATCAAAATTTAACCCCTTGGATGCAGAAGTGTCATACCGGTATGGAATGCCAATGGAATCAGAGGCTTACTCGTATATCCATTCGCCAGCTATCCGTTTCGTCGAAGCGTCACACAATCTCGATAATAATCATCATTAGCGTTCCGTTATTTCGGCGCATAGCAGAGCGGATTGTTGAAACAGCCACGGACCGCGGACGCCGCTGGTTCATTAAATCGTCCATCGGCTTGTCGAACGAACCAACGAACTGAGCGCTACGTGCGACTATTTATCCCCCGAAATCTAATCTACTTTAGTGGACGACGCTCTCCGGGGACCTTCTAATATTTGAAGAGTGACCGCTTCGTGTTTCAATTAACGTGAATTATCTTCGACGCCCGTTATTTGGACCTTCAACGGTTCACTATCAGACTAGGAAAGACTTGGCGCTCTTTTACAAATCGTTACTAAATATCCAATTCATATTTGCTGGCTAAGATAATAATAAAACTGAATTAAATTTAATTGATTTTAACTTTAATTGGTATTTGTTATTTGATATGAGTTGATGATGCGAAAATTCGGTTGCGTTCAATTTAATTTGCATTACAACTGAAGTCACTTTGCTTAATTAGAGTTAGGTGGAGTGGAATATTCTCGTAATTGATTGTTATACAAATGAAAATTTGACATTCTGCCATTTTTTTTATAAAAATATATTTTACAAATAAAATTATAAGGAAAACAACATTTATTTCATTTTTTTTCTTGTTTTTACGTTAAATTTTGCATTTTGCGCAGGCGCGACCTCCAGCCCGTGACTAAAGACTTTAGCCACGTACTTTAGTCACGGTATGTATAAAGTACCACTTTTTGTGTCTCAAAACCAAAGAAAAACTGACATTTTAAAAGTGGAAGTAGAAAAAATTGATAATAATTTATTATTTATAATTTAGAGCTAAATTTATTACTTTATGCTTTCGTGATTTTATGGTTGTGTACTTTTGCGGTGCTCACGAACATCTAACTCATCTGATTAGGCCGCCATTAATCAAATAATAAGCTACACAATAACTAATCAGCGTAATCATCGCACGTAAAAAGGGCGCCGCCTAACTAGGTGTACGCTTACCAAAAGCTCAAATCTACACGTGATCGTAAAGGTTTCCACACGCCGCCGACGCTTGGCGGTTTTGGGTGTTCACGCCGCGATATTCTAACAAGCGCACCCCGTACTACTCCGTTTGCTTCCGTTAATTAAATCAACACATTAACGATTGCGTTTACGAATCGCGCTGAAAACGGACAATTCTATCGTGTGCGCTAATGCCGTGCTGCGTATCGCGGCGAGCGATCGGAGGAGGCGGCGAGTCGACATTAGGCATTCGGTTGGCGTTCGCATTAGTATCGCGCGCTTTGATTAATCTGATTAATTCGAATATTAGTTACATCTGCGGTCGCAATCTATTCACGGATTGTTATTACAAATTACTCCAGAGAGAATATTTTTGTTTGCAAACGAATCAATTATTGTAAATCATTATTATGAAACAAATCATGCGTTAAAACATATATTGTTTGATATAATTGAATTTAATGTTTCATTTGACACTAAGTCTTGCTTCAGCGCCATCTATACGTTTACCTAGATGCACCAAAGAGGTAAATTCGTTAGTATGCAGCAAACCACTAAGGTTTTATAATAAACACGCTCGGACTGTAATTCAATGTTTATGTTCTCGGGCGCTGGACGAATTTTTCTCGAAATATCCCGTCGCTGAACCCCGTCCATCCTGGTTGTTATACCTCCGCCACATTGTGGTAGCACCGCTCGAGTAGCGGATGGGTTGAACGACGGCAGCACGTAGTTTGCACCGACATTGCCACCCCCTCGTCCCACACGTCCCATTCTTCGACATGGCTGCCGCACCACACGTGACGGCAATGTGCATGCGGGGGCTGGGCCAATGCCGAAATTAAAACCGCAAATTTATTATCTACGTTGTTGTAATTTTTCAACGTGTGGCCGCCGCGCTGCAACTATGTTGGTTTTATTGAGGGCGAAATTTCGGCGTGGCATGTGCATTAGCACATTAGAGTACTGGCGTGGATGCTTAGAGAAGAATATTGCTGTTGGTCACTGGTGTTCACTTAGTTTGACTGCACTGAAATAAGTTTTAACTAAGCAACTACTTACGGGTCGTTTTTTATTCGAATAGGTTTGAAGTGGAATATCAGTCAAATTATCTATTTATTTAATAAGTATCATAAAATACAAATCACACATTTATTTTAAGGGCGAGGCTGACTGTTTTGATGAAAATTTTGATGAAAAAAACTGCATTTATTCCTTTGTGGGACAGAAATAAGAGCAAAATACGCAAAAGTGACGTTTTTAAATAAGCCGGCAACCAAATATACTCAAATAAGCATACAATTTCACATACATTTCCAAAGTGGTGTTTTTCATGAATTTTTTGCAAATAAGCGCCTCTTAGCGCCATCTCGGGGTCTATCAAATAACTACCATAACTATTTCAATTTTTTCTCAAGTTTATTTGTTTTTATTTACATTTTTGTAGATATTCGACAAATTTTGAAAACAATATCGTTCTTATTAGATATAATAGTTCTACAAACTCAAATCAGTCTTTTAACACTATAATTTTTCAATTTATTACGTTTTACCGGTGAAATTGCTATGGAAGTTGATTTTTTGTTGAAATTAATTGAGGTGATTATCACGCGTGCATGCCCGCTATAAATAAAACCAACTAAGGTCCCTGGAAGCTGAGGACTTAGTATTTGCGGGATTTGGGCCTGAAAGGAGATTTCCGTCAGCATGGAGCCCGCTCGAGGGTCCATCCCTTGCTTCAGACCGCGACCATAATCGAATAATCGCCCCGCCACGGCGACAAATTATTGCATCGTGCCCGTGTTGGGCTCGGGACCACAAAATGCGTGTTCCAAGCATGCCTTGTTTCCGAATGTTGTTAGCCCTTCAAGCCAATGGAAACAACTTATAACACGCATAGAAAAGAACCAGATAAGAAAACACCTTATTTCCAAACGTAGCGATTTCAAAACTACGAAAATTCAAGATGGCGTCAAAATAACCCGTCTGAAAACGAACGTTAACATTCACCATGCGTATCTTTAGCGCCACAAATCAACCAAAGTCATAAATTCACCGGACGATGCGTAAACAAACGCGGAATGCAAAACTTTGCCTAGCTCGCGGAAAAAATCTAAATTATGTTATGTAGCCGCGTTTTTTTTCATCTGAATAACTACGGCGCATGAAACGCCAGAGTGGTTGGGAGTTTCAGCGCAATTTCATATAAATTCATGGCACTTTTTCCATTTTATTTTTATTCTTGCTTCAGCAATGTGCACACAGCGCACAGCTCTACCGGTTGTCATAACTTCTCTGTTTCGGCATTTGTGTTTCGGCTTGCACTCCGCAACGCAAGACGAAAACAAATTAATTCCGCAAGCGGGCAATAACGAAATTAATTTATTTCCGTCGGAGGAGCGCACATTGCGCGAAGAACTGAATCTTACCACGAAATTATCTCAGTTGTTAGTAGCAAAACGCAAAACTAAACAAAAATTTAAAAATTATCTCAAAAAATGTATTTACTGTGCTATAAGTCATTTTAACGAGTTTGTGTTTTTAATAGACTTACCTTTCTGTTCGTAAATTCAAGGTATAAGAATAAAGTAACAATTGGCTCATCAACGCGACTAAAATTTTTTATATTTAGCACTTTTTTCGTCACAAATATATATTATATCATATAATACATCTTAAAAGATAAATTAAAACAGTCTTTAATCATGTTCACATTTCATAATTATTTCCTTACTGCTGTAGGTACGATTAATAATTATTCGAAACAAAGTACTTTACAACTTATTATTAACTTACGTCGTCAAATATTTTACGTTTATTTTCGCTTCACAATATTTGTCTCACAAACTGTTTCGTTTCGCATTATGACTTAGGTTTTAAACAATTTACATATTAGTTTAGTTTCTGTTACATTTGTATTTGATTGACCCTTTGATTCGTCGTCCTCTATCACCATTTAGTTGGTAATGTTACACTTCTAATTATTTTGCTGAGGATAACATAGTATGACGTCAACTTAGCAATTACAAACATTTCTTTTATGAGTTTCATTTACGTGTATTTTTAGGTTAGGTTTAAGGTTCACACAGTTCGGTGGTATTGGCAACTCGCGACACACAACATTTTACCTTTTACCTGAAAATTAACACCAGATATATGAATATCCCCAATCGAATGGCGTCCTTGCCGAGGATTGACACATGTGGCGAAGGGGAACCTCCGTTCGGGAACGTCACTGCAACAAATCGGGCCACATGTTCTAAACATTTGCTGTGGAGATATATATTGAGGGAAGTGTTTGAAAAGGTTAGGTGAGGAAATATGTAAATGATTATGGCTAGGAATGAAGGGGTAGTTTGTAGCCGACAGCGTTGAATTGAGCAATTGAAACACGAAGCAGGCGACAACTCTGTCAGAATGCTCACTGCTCTCGCAACAATGCGAAAGATGCGAGGCGTTGATGTCTCGTCCCTTAAATCCCCAAACGCTCCCGAATGCTTCCCGGCATCCCCAAACACCACGGTTTATTGCATAATGTCGTGGTTTACGAAAGGTGCCTCCCAAAGGAGCGATGCACAAGGTTGTACACTGTCGAGACAAAGGGTTCGACGTCGGTGGCATGTGAGTTCAAAGGTGAAGAGGGGACTTAGTGGTGGATACAAAATTTTGCGGTGTTTTTTGTATGTATATACCTCGTTCGGGGACGGGATCCTTGGCGCTGTCCAGCCGCAGCTCCGCCGACTGATTGTACATGCCCAATATCTGCGCCTCGCAGCGCAACACCAGCCGACCGCCGTTGTCAAAATGCGACGGGAAGATGGGTAGGTCCAGTGACAGCTCGCTCCACAGCAGTTCGCCATCCGCGTGCTTTTTCGTTTCGCATGTTTGGCATACCTGGCACGATGACAAACAAGAAAAGGACGTCTTGTGAGAATGCAAAGCAAGGACCAAAGCATCCAGATTGAAAATGTTTGACATACTTCAACTACAAAAATACAAATCTGGTTGCATTCTTGTAGGAAATTATATTTTAAACATGCTTTGCCAATGTAAAAAGCTAATAGAATCATGGAGAAACAATAAAATGGAACCATGTTTTCAATATAAGTTGAAATTGCTTCAAACAACAAAACTGTCAAAGTCTAAAATGGAAACGCTAAGCGGCGTTCACTCACTGCGTTATTATTTATGAAATAACTAATAGTTGCAGCTGGTCGTGACGGGAGCGTAGTGCAATTGGCTCGCAGCTCGTCGCCGGCCATGTAGAACGCCTTCTCGGTGATTAGGGTCGGCGGCGCATTGGGAAGCACTGCAAGAACCAACAAATCTTTAGTCCATAACACGCACTATTATCAGAACAAACAAACGTCTTAATCCAAACATCATTGACTCGCTGACGAAAATTCTGATGTAACAAATTATCTAAGGACTAGCTTTAACCCGCGGCTTCGCTCGCGAATATCTAAAATAATGAAGTTGCTTCCGTACGCGTCTGTAGTCATAGAAGAAGATTTGATGTTGACGTAGCTGTCGGTAATACAGTGTGATAATACAGTGTGATGGTAATATAGTACTTAGGTTTGAGCTTCATTGCTGGAATGCTAGATGGCGTTAATGTAGTCAAATAGCCAGATGCACAGGTATTATTGGCTAAACAATTTTTTTATTTTATTTAAAAAATATTTGTTTTTTATTAAATAAAAAGTAGCCTATAACCATTCGGGGACCACTAAGAATATGTGTACAAATTTTCATGATGATCGGTTAAGTAGTTTTTGCGTGAAAGTGTAACAAACATCAGGACTTTCGCATTTATAATATTAGTAGGGATTTACAGTTATACAGAGGAATGGAATTTGATAGAGGTATTCGGATGAACTTCTAAGTGCCCACTCGAAATAGTTGTTCACTTGGAACTTAAGGGTTTCTAAATGCTAATAATGCTAGAAGATAAGTTTCGTGGTCATTACCGACTACAAGCATGTCCTTCGAGACGACAGCTGTGGAGAAAGGTGCCTCGGTGGTCACCTCACAACTGAAGTTCCCCGAAAGATTGAAACCGACTTTCCGAAGAACCACCTGGTGTTCATCTGAGGTTTCCAACTGCAAAACAACATACATTCAAATTATTTCACAAGAAACTCGGATATTTTTCACTCTGTGTGTTTCATAAATAATTCCTTCAGTCGCGCAGATTAAGTTAAAGCATACCGTCGGTATTTTTACTCTGACTGTACAATTAGCAAACGAATACCAAGTGAAACAAGCGAAACAAGATAAACACTATTTGTGTAACAACGTACGCAAACAAACGCTCGCAAATTGTAACGCACACCCGGCCACAGACCTGACCCTCAAGTTCATGTTGCATAAAACAGAAATTCAGCCCTAAAACAACTAGCAAAATGTATATAAAGTGGTCTAAAAATAAATTCCAAAAATTAGACCCAGTTAACCCTAACCAAATTAACATGGTACATAACATAAAGAGACGAAATTAAAAATGCGTAATGTTTTTACAATCCAATTCAAAGTTTTGTGCTTTGGGGATGCATTGCAGAAAGGGTTCATGGGATTATAAAAGCACTTTGAAATGTCTTTCTGTGTGCAATTGTATAAAACATTATGTATAAGAGGAAATGATAAATTATTAACATTCGGAACTTTTGTGCTTTTAGCAGACACTTTGTATAAAAGCATGAAAGTGAAAACGGTGAGAGGGAGACCTGTAAAGAAAGCTTTTGTAGAAGGGCGCTCTGGCGTTATATCGTGATCAAGTAATTAAGAAATTCCTTAATTACACCTAATTCGATGATTAAATGTAGCAACTGCGGAGCCGACGCTTGTGATGCGCAGCGAAGCGCGACGATGCCAGACAGGGTGGTGAAGTGTTCAAACCCCCGCGCCAAGGCATCACAAGATGGAGTTGCGAATTATAGGTCTATCGTACACCACCATTCTTTAATGCTTTGATAATGATCTTAGTAGATCTAGTCCCTGCAGGATTTTTACATAATCGGTGTCTATAAGTGCCAAAATTTGAACTTAAATTAGAAATAAAATTATGCGAGTGTTTTATTACGGTGATAAATGACATGATAGAGAAAATTATGTGTTTTAGGACTTTAGGTAGTAGCTGGTTTGTGAACTCGTAAGTAATTCGATTTAAATTTCTAATTTCTAATTTATGCCTCTTTTAGCGAGCGTGGCGGGCCAGGCGTCGCAAAGTTGTTTGTAACTTGCATTAGATAATTACTTTATTATTAGGGGTGGTTCGTAGCGGCGGCGGTGAACCGTGCCGCTTTTGTAGGACATTCAAAACACATCAAACTTTACTTACTTTATCGGATAATTTATTTTAAAACGTGTTTTTTGCCCCAAGTTTAAAACAATCTTTTACGCGGTAAACACGGTTAACCTTTTATCAAATTACAACTAATTATAGTATTATTTAATCTTCATCGTTAATAAACACGTATATCAATTTCATTCTGCACAATAGATATCTACGAATATTAATTAATTTCTCTATATGCGGCAATCGAGGCAAACCGCTCGTGGTGCGTATGGTTTGGTGCGTACTTAATTGATTATTATTATCTGTAATAATGTTATTGCGGCTGCTGGCAATGCCAGAAGTAGTAATTCGGCATAGCGTGTACTCACGTCGACGTGCGCGCCGGCAAAGAGGAAGACTTTCGTCGCCGGATGCTCGCTCGGCGTGTACCTGTAGAACTCGTGCCGCCCCCGGTACCATTTCACCGTGTACAACTGCGCGCCCTCCAGGTCGTACACGCAGGAGAGCGTGGACGATTCGCCTTTGTTCACAACTCGAGGGTGGATTAGTAATTCGACATGTTTTAGGCCGGATACGCCTGGAAATAAATGAGAAAATATTTTAATTACGCCATTAATATGCTAATTACGCGTGTATGTACGCGTATTATTTTTGAGTTGTTGTGTGAAAAAATACCACAACTCAAAAACAATATTGATAGAAATTTAATCAAAGACCATCTAAGTGTAAAAATATATTCCGGTGACGTTTTCGATTACACTCTTCACAAACCGCGGCAAATAAGCACCCCTAGTGATATCCCAATACGCATTCAATTTGTTCGAAACGTGCACGCGCACACATTGCGCCCAAGTGTTACTCGCGCTCTCGCATATAGTTTTAGCACAAACAGGCGGCGTCGACGTCGATCCGAGCGCTTCAACACACACATACAAACACCAACGCAAGCTTTTGTTCCATCCGCGCGCGCGGTTGCTATTTGTCCACCAAGTGAACCGAAGGCGCTTTATTTTCGTCATCGGCGAAAGAAGTGTGCGCGCGGTGTGTTATTCCAGCTGTTTTGCGCTTTCTACGCGCCGCCGAAAAAATCCGAGCATCTCGATCCGTGTGTTACATGCAGGCGGCCGCAAAAAACCGCAAAAACAGTGGCGAAAAAAGTTCACATTTGTGTGTTCAACCAGCGCGAAAAACGGAACGAAAACAAACAAACCGAAAGAAAACAATAGATACACACAGGAAAACAGCGGCATTGAAAGTAATTCGCTCAGAATACATCGATTTCATGCCGCAAACATAGCAAAATGTAGGATTGCGTAAGTTTAAACTAAGATTTTTCTTCAAAATAAATAAAAAGATTTAAAAATATAAAATAACAAACAAATCACACAGAATTATTCCTATTATCTCTTGATGATCCCTACTAATATTATAAATGCGAAAGTCCTGATGTTTGTTACACTTTCACGCAAAAACTACTTAACCGATCATCATGAAAATTTGTACACATATTCTTAGTGGTCCCCGAATGGTTATAGGCTACTTTTTATTTAATAAAAAAAATATTTTTTAATTAAAATAAAGAAATTGTTTAGCCAATAATACCTCTGCATCTGGCTATTTGACTTCTTTAACGCCATCTAGCATTCCAGCAATGAAGCTCAAACCTAAGTACTATAGTACCATCACACTGTATTATCACACTGTATTACCGACACCTACGTCAACATCAAATCCAATTGACTACACTATGGAGACTGTACACTATACTTCCATAGACTATACTTTCAGCCATTTTAAACTTCCCGCCATTCTACTTCATTGTTACTTCTTCTGTGACTACAGACGCGTACGGAAGCAACTTCATTATTTTAGATATTCGCGAGCGAAGCCGCGGGTTAAAGCTAGTATAGAATATAGTTTTATGAAATTAAGTTAGATATTATTAACAAATTGTGCACTCGACGCACTAATGACCCTGGATGTATCCTACAACTGTGTTCAGTGTTAAAGTGCTTCAATTATTTCTGATATTGAAGATGCACTTTGTCAACCGACCACAGGCGCCGGACGTGCCCAGCTCGTCCATTTGACGTTGTTTGGTCATTTCGTAATTGGATGCATCGACCCAACGCCTAACGCCCGGATGAGGTATTGCCCCGAGCGAGAATAATTATAATTGGTAATAAGAGCGCCAAGCGACGCGTGCCATCAACAAACTTTCGTAATCTTATTAGTGCTGCACATCACTGCGTTTAACAAGTTGCGTATTAACTCGACAGTGGCGCCATCGCATCAAATGTCAAACAATAAACAAGTATTTTTTCGTATTTTGAGAAAAATGTTATTCTGTTTTGGTTTATAATGCTTTTGTGGTTTCAGGTAAAAACTTTTTTAAATCTTGCACTTGATTATAAATTTTAATAGAAGTGAGCGCTTTTTTCGCAACGCGGTGTTTTTATTTTGGTCGCTGACACAGTTTTACGCCCTTACATAGCTCGTTGTCTATTACCGAGCGGTGCAGGGACACTAAAAACGCCCCGGATACTAAACGAAAGTTTTAGAGCTTTTGCTTCAGGCGGTTTTAATTAAAAAATTAAGGGCATCAAAAAAACCCAGCGCAAAAAAATATGGCGACACACATTGCGTTCAGACAAGATGTATATCTCAATTAATTATTAAAAATTCTTTCAAATTTGTCTTAATTTCATAATTTAGCCATATCTACTTTAATTTCGGAGAGATAGTTGAGCTTTTTATAATTCCATTAGCGAGATTGTAAATGTGGTTGGAAAAACAAGAATAAATGAAGTGGTTAATGAATCATAAAAGCTAGGAAAACCTCGGTCGTGTGCCGAAAAGTTAAATTGGACAAAAAGCTTTTTAAATAATTAATGCGGCGGACAATAGGCTCTCATCCAATGATTATCCGAGCGCACACGCAGGCCCAAAAGCCCCCGTCAACAAATTATGATATACATCGAGCGGTTTTTTATCAATTTTTCCGTCTATTTAATGTAGCTTATGGTATTAAGGCGGGACGCGTGTAGTTTCGCTTGTTTTTCGACCCTCGTCCTCGTTGGCGGCGGCGGCGGCGGCGGCAAGCACATTAGGTAAAGCACTTCGCACCCTCTTTTCACTCCGTTTGCTTCCTCAAACTCGACGCGCGGCCTAATGTTGTAAAAAGAAACCGCGCACATGTTATGATGCAAAACGTTGAATAAAGCGTGCGTGTCGAAGTCGTAAACGTAAAAACTGTACTCAAACGAGACCAGAAAAAAGGGTGCGGAGACGCAGAATAAAAAATAACACCAACTTAAATATATATCTCATTCCCACTCATACAGTCCCTTGAAAGTTTATATTTCGCGTGGAATTATTACTCACTTTGTAGATGAATTTTGCGCAATGCAGAGCGCAGAGAGATTTTCGACCGCGATGGTTTATTGTGGAAGCAGACTATTAAATTCAACCCACGAGTTGAGGTATGCACACGTCACACTACACCTACCCGTAAACCTCATGAGTTTAGAGTTGAGGCGGCGAACTTCAACTTGGAAAATTCGCGCGCTGCGTAAAGATTAAAGTGCGCAGCCGAACGCTTGTGAAAACTTTACCGGTTGCGCTCTTTTCGACGCCTTTCAGCAAACCCGCCATCCGCCATCACCGCGCGGGTGGATTGCTTGAGTAAATAAAAAGCGTTTAAGTGAAATGGATACTTTTAAAAGGGTTTTAGATAGGTTTTAGTTGCATAAAGTAAAACTTCTTTTTATATAATTTTTTTTTTGTGTTTTGGTGTAAAACAAGTTTTACAATGCGCAATTGCCTTAGAAACTAATATGATGAGCTATTTGATGTTTTTCCGCTACATATAATCGAAATCTAATCATTTTCCATGATATTGCATTTTGAATACCAAACCCTTAACACTCCGCACACGCATAATCACGTCGGGCATTGTGCGGCCGACAATAAATCGAAGCGCGTCGCCATCACAAAGCCCTCATGCAACATTCACCGTGTCAGGACTATTGGCAAATAAATTCAAACTCCTAAATCCATCATTTATCACACTAGTGTACTGGTTCCAGTGCGAAACGCAAACTTAGGTTAAAATACTTTGTAAAAATCGCACCCAGGAGAGGATACGCGCTACATGCTTCTTTCTCGCACCACCATCAGGGCCGGTTTTCCGGGTTTGAATATCCAGCGACACAGCGCGCATTGTGCGTCGATTGAATTCGTGATGAATTTTATTGTGGTGCGATGGGAAATATCTGTTAGCGAAACCCATTTCGATTTAATTCCGCTTGAATATAGTCGCTTTTGGTCTTGTTTAATTTAATTTATTCCGAATGCTCGCGTTTGCAACACGCGCCCGAGTTCGCACGCGTTAGACGCCCCCCACGCGTGATAGAGGGGTTGATGCATGCACGCAATTTGAGATTACATTTCACAATCGACTTTGGTAAACCAACAATTTCATCTCAAATTACTTTCAACTCTTTTCGAATCGAATAATGTGTATTGTTGTCGATGTTACTGCAACATCCTCTATGATATAAATCAAACATATTTGTGCGCGTAGGGGGAAGTCCCCTAGTGGCGGACACCTAAGGTTATTTATAAATAAATCAAAAAATATTTGAAGAAATGTTAATTAAATTATGACATATAGTAGATAACAAAGTTAGAAATCAAATTAAAATAACAAAAATGCAACCTCTGTTAAAAAATAATTAATACTATCAATTAAACTTTGGTAAGAAAAAGTATAGTTTTAAAAAGTGGCACCTAGTACCGGACACATATTTGTGCCATACCCCTCTCACCGGACATTTCAAATATGTGATATGGTTAGGTAAGCTACCTTGTTTGGTATTATTTATGGGGCGGTGGGGGGTGGGGTGATAGAATTTAACGATTTAATCAACGGATTTAACACACTGACTAGAAGCAGCCCGTGAATGCATACATCCACTAGCTAATGTGTTCATTTCAGTTACAATAAATACATTAACTACGAATTTTAGCGAATGTATGCATTAACTAGTAAATGTATACATTTACTAAATGTATGCATTGACTGCAACATAGCCATCTCATCACTCTCTCTCTCTCACAAGAAATATCAATATGTTTACTGTCCGGCGCTAAGGGACAACTTAGTGTCCGGTGCTAAGGGACAGACATTTTCGTTCATTTGGTGGTACCTACTAAAATTGTTTAAAAAATCTAATAATATTCTACCATTTTACGGATAACAATCAAGTACTACTTGTATCTTTGAATTCCACTCAAATGTAAATGCATAAATATACTAGAATTAATTACATTGATCTTTAGGTGACGTCGTGATTTTGCGCCTGAAACAGCAAACGGCTGCTTCCGCCGTGGCCGTGTGCGTTACTGGCGAGCCACGACGAGTGATCCTGTACCTGTGAGCCCCCCGCGCCCCTTTCACTTGTTTTTTGAAATGAAAAGATTTAAACTAGCTTAAATAGTACGAGTGTCCGGTGCTAGGTGCCGTCCGGCGTTACGGGACTTCCCCCTATACACTTTCGTACTGTTTGCGTTACG